ACCCTTATAATGGTTCTTTTCTATACCCAGAAGTTGGATGCTGGCTTAAACTCCAAGCCACAAGGGTTGTATGCCCTCCCAGAGTTTATGTACACTGGTTTGTCCTAGTTCTGGACAGTCCAGTCATCCCCCTTTGAATCATACCAAATTCTTGGCCTCAGCAACATCCTGTGGCAATGAGGAGGCCAGTGCCATCACAGGGGATTGCAAAGTTTGCTGTCCCAGACTGTTTGCAACAGCAGCTGTTACTAGTTCCACAGTAACTCCAAGAACACCCCCACCCTCTTCTTGCAAAACTAACCTCAAAGCCACCAGTCTACATCAGGATGAAAAACGAAAAGATATTACCATTTTAAGGCAAACCAATTTGGGGATAATGGAAAAACATAACAAGTGGTTGAGAATATGAAGTTATTCTTATATCTTGTACCAGATATTGTCTGGTTTACTACTCACTGCTAGGGCTTCTGCTGTAGCATTAGGATATACTGACAAAGTTTCAAGCAGTCAGTGGTCAACAGTGACTTTATATTGGGGTTTACCTCCATTTTGACTATGCAGAGGCTAACATTTCCCATAGGTCTATTAGTAAGAGTGGGCAGTTTTTCTCTGCTTATCTGTGCTTTCAGCTGCACAGCTTCAGACACAGTCAGAGCATGGGATCCTCTGACTAGTGCTTTAGAAGCTTGAATTACTGAACAGCTCCTGTTCAGTTCTACAGTGTGGAGGGAGGATAATAGCCAGTAAAACCTAATGTAAGATGAATTCAGTTTTCCTCTGCCTGTCTCTGCCTTTAATCTTCCTTCCTAGTCCACATGTTTCTGCAATTCCATCTGTTCTCATGGCAGCTGTCCCAAGAAAAGAGTAAGAATAAAAAGAAATGGAACCAAAAAACAGGATCAGCTGAAAAAGCCAAGGCTTTTAGCGGCACAAGGAGTCACTTTTGGTCAAAAGTCACCACCATTTCCTCTGAAATGTGTTAATAAAAGACAACTCAGGGAAGAAACTGCCAACTTCCAGCTGCACAATGCTAATTGCTGGAGAGGTCACAAGGAGTGAAGCTGCCTTTCCTCCCACCTCTCAGGGCTGGCCTTGCGGGTGGGTGACATGGGCGACTGCCCAGGGTGCTGTGGTCATAACACCCCCCCACCGCCAAGTGCAGCCCAAAACCCCATCCACACGCGCACACTTCCTCTGCCAAGCCCAGCTTACCCCCTATCTCCAGCTACTGCTCAGGAGGAGCCAGACTGGGCACATGTGGGTGGGGTAGCAGCAGCAGTGCCTGCCCATCTGCCTGCCTGGCACACCATGCCACTCTGCCTCCCTAACAGACTGCTCTTGCCTGCAGCACTACTTCTGACTTGCAGGGGATGCCATAGTACAAGTTCACATAGGGCACCACTTTCCTTAAGGCCAGCCCTGCTCCCAGTACTCACCCAAGCAGATGGTCTCATACTGGTTGGAGAGTAAGATTAGATTCTCATATACATGCAGAAACAGGGATGTTGAGCCAGGCACCAGGACTTTCAAAGTCATAAGTGTAACAATGACAGGAACCAGAGTTACCACTGGAAAGAAAAGCAGTGAAGCACAACAGGCAAAGCTGAACTAAAAAGGCAAGGGCCAGGGCAGCCATAGGTGTACATACATCGTTTCAGTTACCAATTAACTAAAGAACTTTGTGTTAATTAGAAGTATTCAGTATTTTATCCAAGGCATATACTACAGTAAGAGTCAGCAATTTTAAGACTGAAGAGATCCAGACCTCTCAGGCCATGATCATCACTTCATGCCCCCTACTACACTCGGTCAGACTCCTTCTATTCTTTATACCAAAGACAAATAAGGCATTAAAGCAGTCTTACCTGCAAGCTCCACACAGCTGAGAAACAGCTAATCCTCAGTGCTTCTCAGGTCCAGTAATCCTCCAGATTTACACCATCCTAAGCCAGAAATAGGAAAAAAAAGACACACTTCATTTCCTGCTTAAATACCCACCGTGTGGCCCAGGTGAGAGCCTCCCTTTCCCAACTGGCAGGTAACTAGGTTCTGTAGGACAAAGAGTTTGCAGTAAATTACCCCCTTGTCTTCCTGCTCATGCAAAGGCTATACACAGGACTGTATAAAGGTCTTCTTACATGTTTGTAAAACACCAGGCATGAAAATTAATTTACCTGAATAAGAGTGATACTGGTAGCTAATCTTCAGTAAAGGATTCCATTCCCCATGGCACATGCCCTGTTAAGGCAACATGTAAAGAGATTCAATAAAAGTAACATATAATTGGGGTCAAGGCCCCTGCTTCTCCCTGATATGTTGTGAGCTCATTGGTGAGCAGGCATCATATTGGACTCCAAGCCCAAATACTCAGGTAGAACCTTTTCATATAATCCCAGAATACTCCCTTAGCAGGATCTGCCCATTGAAAATGTTCCTTCCAAAGGGCATCACTCAATTCTTCCTGCCCCCTCCCTGACACTGCCTCAGTGGTAATAGTGCCTGGACTCCGGGTCTCCCAAGCTGGGATGAAATTCATTGCTGTGGCTATGTTCTATTCCTGTTTGTGACTGTAGGAGGAATAACAACAAGATCTAGAGCTGCATGTGATTATCTTAGGGACCACAGCTATTTAGGGATGCAGGACAAAGTGTTCAAGTGTGGACACTGATTCTGGGTGTCTTCTGCTAGGCAAACAGAGACTGGGGCACCCCAGAGCAGTTGCTACATATTCAAATGAGGCTACTAGCACAGTGATCCCCTGAAGAGCATTGCTGGGATGACGCTCCATGCTCCTTACTATGTTCATGGCAGACTCTTATACTGCTCTTACTTTCCTCCTGGTTTTTGTCTCTCCTCCTCTTTTTTGTGTGTTTCTTCTTGCACTTCCTTTTCCTGATATTTAGACAACAAGATGATCACAGATTCTCTTTCTCTGCCCTTTTGTCTTTTTCTTTCTTCCCTTTCTCTTTTCTTCATACCTTTCTTTGGCATCATTCCCACTCTCCTCCTCTTTATTAAAAATCATCTGATTGGTGCGTATAATTCTAGCATAAATACAGAAACTGCTAGGAAGGCATCAGGTTATTGCTGGTAAAAATATGATTTGCAGGAAATTCTTATATTTCAGAATCTGCTTTTACTCTCATTTCGAGTAGAAACCAAATTGTTTCAGATTTCTTGTGAACAGGAAAAAAAATCATTTTGGAATGCTCCAGCTGCAGCTGGCTGGAACTGTTCTTCTCAGTTTTACTGCTTCTGTTAGCTGTTTCAGCCAGGGGCTGCCAGCACCACCAGGGGATGCAATGTAGAAACAGCCTGCACAACCAGACCTAGTTAGGATGAAAGTGACAAAGTGAGAGAGCAGTAAGATTTATGTGAGGTTGCTTCAATCTGGGATCCAGTACAGTTTTACCAACTGCTTATGTGCTTTGCTCAGGAGACAACAAAAGTACTTTACAGACAAACCAGACTGACAAGTACTTGCTGCTTGAGAAGCTTAATTTAGACACAACACAGTGGGCATGTCTACACGTTCACATTTACTGTGCAGTAATTTAGGCTACTGCACAGTAACCAAAAATTACTGTGAGGTAAGGGCATGCATCTACACGTGCACGCTCTTACTGCACAGTAAATATGGTGACTTAAGCCAACTTGGATGTAAATTTACCACCTGCATCATGCCCGATTAGTTACTGTGCAGTAACGCATGTGTAGATACCTTACTGTGCAGTAACACTTGGAATTAACTTTAGTCCCAAGTCAGCCCACACACAGTGTTAGTGCACTTTAATGGCTGCACATGTAGACACCAGCCGAAAAACCACTTGCTGTGCAATAACTTACTGCGCAGTAAATGCATGTGTAGATGTGCCCAGCAAGAACCAGTAACCAGGGTTGGAGAGAGAGGGAGCTTAGATTAACTGTTTCAGAGAGGGATCTTAGATTAACTGTTTCAGAGAGGCAGGGCAAGGAATGGGAGGTGGGGACTGAAATCGGTGGAAGATCAGCCAATGAATTTGACGTGGCACATAAGCATGTTGTGTTATTCCTTTTTCAGTGAGTAGGTTACAAGTAGAGACAGAGTTGGGACAGAAGATATGGGTAGAGGTTATTGAGATAAAGCTAACTCTCTCTTCTCCCATCTCTCTCATTCCCATGTATCTTGTTGCTTTTAAACAGCCATTGTTTCTGAAAGCATTGTGAGATTAAACATTGAAAGTAAATAAAGGAAGCAACAGCACTGAAGGGGGTTGTTACATAAAGGTAGCTGGGAAGGTCAAGGGAGGGGTAGTGGGAACCAGGGCTACTGCTTTCTCAGTAATTGAGCCACCTTTGGGCCACTTCTATCAACCTTTTAGCAAGAAGAGGAGGAGGAACTGATATCCCAGGAAAGAATGGTATGGCAGGACCTGACAGCCCCAGAGACCAGCTTCCCAGTCAAAGAGTTTTGTTTCTGTTGCTCAGCTAAAACAGTAAAAAACACTGTTAGCTCCTGCAGTTAACATTTTGGACCAGATTCTCACCTAATATAAATTGATGTAGCTGCATTGTCTTTCTGCTAGGATAGTTTATTCACAACTGAGGGCCTAGCTTACTCTAGCTCTCTGGATTTATTTCCCCTTTCCATTTATTTTTTCTCTCCTGTACTTTCTCTTTTGTCTCAACATGTCTGAAAATCAGGCCCCAACAAGTGTCTCCAGGTACAGTCCCAAAAAGCAAGACAGACAACATCAGGGGCCACTTTTAAAATTATTGGCCTGTTTTTTTTCCTTTCAGCTTTAAATACTTCCCTTGACTTTTTCAGGTTGTTTTCCTTATTGGATCTGGCCTTAGTTGTTTCCTTGCTTTATTTGTACTATAATATGGTTTTTCTTTCAGCTCTCCAAGAGCCAGCATTACCAAAGAGCCACAATGTTCAGGAACAGTCAGAAAGAACATTATCCCCTGAGCAAGCCAGTGACTCACCTGTAATTCTTTGTCTTCTCTTACAGGAATGAAACTGTCTTACACCAGTTCTGTTGCCCAGCAGCTGATGCAGAGCAGAAGCCCTCATCTTCGGATTCTTCACCAAGGTGGGAGATCCCTGTCACCAGGGCCTTCTCCTTTCCACTTTCTCCTCTTTTCTTACAACCTCATCCGTCTGCTTTACACTCTGCTGTCATTCACTCCTGCTTACTCCCCTGTAAACATGCTCCTGACACTTCTCTTCTACACACACATACTCCGATCTTCACCACCTCTCCAAAGCACTCTCCCACACACTCTCTCATCTACTCATCTAAATAGACATACATGCACTTTCACACACCCCCAACACCCATCTCTCTTTCTTAGATTGTAATTACTTACATATCTCCTCAGCTCTCCACTCATGCAAATGCATACTATCAGCCTATGCACTCACATGCCTCTGCCCCTTCACCTGATACATCTTCCCTACATTGCTGCCACCCATTCACACCCTCCATACAAATATACACACCCATTGCCCTTCAGCTTTCTCACACACACAGAGACCATACCATACCCCTCCCTCCCTCCCTCTCTAGCATCCCTAGTCTCTGGTCTCCTGCCCTGCTGTCTCTGGTCTCCTCCCCTATATGTGTATACATGTGGACATTCACCATCCACCAGAGCTTAGGGCTGATGTTGGCATCATGGATATGCCAACAAAGGAATTCTGTTAGCTTCTAACAGAGGCCAAGGCTTGTTTCAACATGGGTTAAGCTACTGCAGTGTAGATTCCCAAGTAAAATGGCCTGATCTGCCAATGACTGCTGACCATAATAGTATCAGTCTGCATATAGATCAGCCAGGGAAGGTCCACATTGGCCATATAGCAGAAACTGGCATAGCCTTCCCCAACTGACAAAGAGCAGCAGAGCCAAAGCTCAGGATCCAAGAAAAAGGTGGAAAATCAAAACCAACACATGAGATTTATTTCCAACCAGAAAAGTACAGGTGGATCCTGTCCCGGTGCATGGGTCAGTGCATCACTCCCATGCCACAGCACTGTCACTAGTACCACCAAATCCTAAGCACAACAAGAAGGGTGCTAAGAAAGGCCCAGTGAGGGCCTGGTGAATGCTGTGTGCCTCATTTACCACTGGACAGTGTGATTCTCAACATGTTGGTGGTTCACATTCTCCTGACCAAACCAGCCGACCCCGAGTGTTGTATGCCCATCTCAGCCAAGTCTGAAGCTCTGGATTTTCCAGTCCATCTTCTTCCTCACATGTATGTAGCCCGTAGATACCACGCTGATGGGAGTCCATAAGCGAGACAAAAAGATGCCCTAGTGAGACCATTCAGTCTCTCTTCTCTCCATTTTCCCTCCCAGTTTTCCCATAACCACCTCCCTGTCATATACTTTCCCATCCTTCTCTCTCTCATGCACCCATGCACCTTCTCCTCTCACTTCTTCATTCTCCTCCTGTTGGCAGCTATAGGATTTGTTATTAGAGATTTTCCCATTGCTCAGACAGACTCTTACCTCTGACCTTTGCAACTGACTTCATAAGCTAGTGTTCCTGGGGAAGGATTCAGGTGGGATGGGGAAGATCAGTTGCAGTGTGGGATGGTCTGCAATATATTATCTCTCTTGGCTTGCCCTGGTCATTGGAAGGGGTTCTGGCTGCTAATCCCCCTGTAGTGAATGGTTGGAGACCCAGACAGTTCTGAAGAGAACAAATGGGCATGTGTACTCAGTGGCAGGGGGTACAGCTGCACTAAGGGATGGGCAGAATGAGTAGAATCCCTCCTGCACTGAATTAGCTGGTTTGGGTGTCAGAAATGGTTTAGCCTAAGGAGAAATTAGCCCTGATGGAAAATTAGCCCAGGCAGAGTGTCCCACTAGTTCTACTGTTTCTGAGCTACCTTGTCCAGAGCAAACTCAGGTGTTTCTATATGGCAGTACTGCATACCCAAAGTGCGGAAGAGGGGTTAATCCTCTGGGCTGTCTTGATCTTCAGTGCTTAGGCCCCAGGTTGGGTGAAATTATTTAAACCTTAAGAGGAATCTGGATCCAGTTCTCCATCTATTTGGAATGGAGATGGAAGCCTATGGAGGTTGCTCTGATAAGGACAGTTGACACCTTCCCTGAAAAGATAAAACTGTGGGATGTGTTTCTGGGTTTGCTTGAGCCTCCCTCCCTCTATGGTTCTCAATGTCTGCAACCTTGGTCTTTGAACCCTGCTGCTTTTCTGTCCTTCTTCCATTCCACCTCCTTTCCAATTTGTTTGCAGCTTTCCCTTGCTTACTTCTAGCACTTTGCATCTGCTTGACCTACAAAGCTTAGTCACCCCCACTAGGGCTTAAACTCCATGTATCTGATGAAGTGAGCTGTCACTTACAAAATCTTATGCATGTCTGATTTAGTTGGTGTATAAAGCACACCTTTACCTTGCCTCCTGTCTTAAATTCCATAGTAACTTGCTGTCTCCTTAACCTCATAGGCCTTCCCTTTAGCGTACTAACACCCTACTGTGGCGACAAAAAATCACAAACACCTCAGCTCAAGATTAAGAAATCTGTGGCAGGCTTTCTGCAGTAATGCTGGGGAAACCCAAAACTGATGGATATAGATGGAAAAGGACAAGGCACTGATTTTCTAATTTTTTTTTTTTGCAAATATACTATTATTTTCATTTGGAAACACATGGAAGCTGGATCTGGATCTGAATCTGGTCTTTTCTAAAGCATATTGCCTTTGCGTTTATGGCAAAGCCCTTTTATATAGATGTCTGCTCATCTATTTCATGTCACTGAGTCTGTGTGCAACAGCTTTTCACAGTCTGCCTCCCCTGTCTCATCTCAGGGACAGTTTTGCTTTCAGCCCTGGTGATACAGCACTGTGTGCCTACCATAGTGTCCTCAGCTTGGCCATCACACTGAGAAAAGGCAGGCCTCTGGAGAAGCAGGAAAGTGCTGGAGGGTTCCCATGTCTGTTGTGACAGCATTAAGGCAGAGCTACAGAAGCCAGTCAGGCTTGGGGAGGGATGCTGCTTATGGACAATTCAAGTTTGGGTCTTGAGCTTAATGTCTTACCTGTCTCTCTCACCTGTCTTCAGACTGAAAGTACTGCTGATACTTACATAGCACATGGGAATGCAAAAGCACTATATGTCCGTGCTGTAATATCATGGCCTACTTTGGTAGACACGTAGAGCAGAATTCAAAACTCCTTGCCTGGAAGCAAAATGGATTAACATGGTCCAGGACTTGGAGGGGTGGAAAGGAAGCAAACAGAGGGTAAAATAGGTGGTAGGGTGTGATAGGGACCCTTTCTCCTCAACAAAAAGCACTGCTGTGCAGCAATCCTCCCTCCTTCTGTGAAGGAATTGTGTGTGGGGAAGATAAGGATAGTTTGTACTTTTCTACCTGTGTGGGGACCAGAAGTACACCATCAGAAGCACATCTGTGTTCTCTTCTAAATGAGAGAAGTCCTTAAGTGTCTGCCATGTCTTGGTGCTTGTGTGCTGCATAGTGCTCCCTGCACATAGTCAGGGTGAAAGGGTCAGAGTATGTGGTCTATCCAACTCAGTGGGTAAGCTTGGCACTTGCCTGAGACACCCTCTTGGCACTCTTCAGGTACTTCAGTCTGTCCTGGACCTCCTTTTCTGCCTGGAGAGCTAACCCAAGTACAATGAGGGGGGCAAGAGGTGGTAACAGGACAGTGAGAAAGATAGCACAGAAAGCCTTCGAGTGGATGACAGTTTGCAGCCTTAATGGTGTTATGCTGTTCCAGATGGGGTCAATCAGCTCTCTAGAATAAGCTCATCATATCCCCAGTGAGCTTGTCACATCACTAGGATAAACTCAAAGGGCTCTCCAGTGAAGTGATGAAGAATACAGAGTAGGCCAATCAGGACTTAAATGAGTCAGGCAGGCAGCCTGAATAGGCAATCAGCATTCCCAATGAGCCAATCAGATCTCTAGAATAAGCTAATCGTGACTCCTGTTGAGCCAGTCAGGTCTGACTGGGTCTCCTGCAGCGATGCGCTTGAGCTGTGCTGAAGCAAGGTCCAGTCAATCTTAGTGCTCCAGTGAATCAGATACACCAGTTTGGGAGATTTTTCCCTGTTTTTTTTCCCTTCCCCGGTCAGGCATTTCCTTAAATGAGATAAATTCTGTCAGAACTGATGCTGCTAATAACCGTCAGACATCTAGTTTTAATTAGAGTTTGCTTCATTAATGCCTCGACTCCTCTCTGTGCAGCAGATTAAATAATGTACTCGCAGCTCATTTTCACAAACCCCCAAACTGCAGGGCTGAGCTGCAATCCTTTAATTAAACAGCCCGGCTGATCCCTGCTGCCGCCTCAGCTCATCAGTCTAAGCCGATTAAAGAGAATAGGGACTAATAAAGAGCATAAACAGGGAAGTGACTCTCATCTCTTCAAGGGACTCAGAGACTCCAGCAGCGGTCGACTGCTGACTCCTCATCTACAGGGAAACTAGGCTTGGTCCAACCTGACACATGCTGGGACCGGCAAGAGCAGGAAGATTACTATTCCCAGGACATTACCAGCATGTGGGAACTGTGAAGAACTGTCCTCCTCTCATGGGGTAGTAGGAGGAGAAATCCAGACAATGGGACTGGGGGTGGGGACAGTGGGAAGGTAACTTAGCAGCAAAAGTGAAGGGAATATGAAGCACCTGAGACAAAGAAATAGGTAGGTAGCTCAAAGCAATAAGAGCAGGGACTGGGTGGCAGGAATATCAGCAGAGTGATAGGGCAGATGGCTGGGGTAGCAGGACTGTGAGACGTGGAGGAGGGTAGGCGGATAACACCAGACAGAGCAGTGGGGCACTTAGCAGTTTAGAGGGGCCTGGACAGCAGCTGCCTCTGCTTCTGGTCTGCGGTGGTGTTTGCTGTCTGCTGTCTGTATGGTTTCCCTGAGCTCTGGTCCATAACACTGAGACTGTTTGTTTTGTGACCCTTCTGAAAAATCTTTGAATGCAGATGGGTGGGGAGCAATGAGTCTTTGACTGTTCCCCAGAAATCAACTAAAACAAAGTACTTACAATTGTTCCCGCTCATTGTGCTCTAGTTCAGGTTCACTGTCTGCCAC